CAGCTGCCTGAGGTAACGTGCAGCAGCTGCTTCTGGTGCGCTGGTCGGCTGCGGTCCAGGCTGAGGTGCCTCAAGGACCACAGCCCGGAGCGTGCTACCAAAGAGCTGCCCTGAAGCAGAGGAAGGGGCAGACATTTGTGCAGGGACCCCTTTTCCTGGGATGTAAAGGGGGAGGGCGAGGGGGCGAGCAAGGGCTCCTCCTGGGTGCAGCCCTCCCTCCCTTGCTGTGCAGAAGCCAGAAGTTATGGAGCTGGTCTCTGGTTGAGACTTTCCCGAGAAGATAGTGGTGCGGCAGCGCAGTTACAGCGAGGGCTGTGCTGGAGGACAGGAGGGGGCTCAGGAAGCCACAGCTCCCTTCCCACAGCTGTGCTGCTGATAGGGGCTGGGGCTGCCCTGCCAGGGCACTGCCCGGCCCGCGAGCAGGAGGGAGGCAAAGCGACAGGAGCACAAATGCCGGAGGATCCGTGGGTGAGTCCCAGGGAAGCGGTGTCCATCGGGGGCCAGGCACGCGGGTCAGCCACGTCTGCGCGTGGGGCAGGAGTCGTGCTCCTGCCCTGCCAGCCCAGCTCAAGCGGAGGGCTCGGCTGGTGTTGGGTATGAGCACATTCAGGGCACAGCTCTTCCAGTGCACAGCTTTTGTGGGCACGGGTGGGTGTGGGTATGCAGGGATGTGAACACCGTGCAGCCACCGCTTTTGCCGTGGTGGGGGCAGCAATGCCACCCCAGCGGAAGAGGAGATGTGTGAATCAGGTTGGAGAATGGAAGAGGATGAGGTGAGCAAAAGGGCAGAGATGATGTCTCCTTGCTGAGCCTGCTGCCCTCCAAGGACAAGATGACGGGGTGGATGCTGGCAATAGGTGTGAGACTCCTCTTTCCATCCTCCCGGGAGGAGCTGCAGGGCTCAGGGGGCTTCCAGTGGGTCTGGCGGGGGTTGCCAGCTCTGTTGCAAACGGTGCTTGCATGGGAAGAAGGGCAACATGTGGGTGCGTGCCTGCCTGTGCCCATGCCTCCTGGCTCTCCCCTCCAGGCCATGCAGGTCCTTGTCCTGCTCTCACTCGTCCTCCCCAGCCTGCTGCCCCCGGCCGGCACCACCGACCCAGGCCAGCCCTGCTCGTCGGAGATGAACAAGGTCAAGGACCTGCTGGAGGTGAACTGCACAGGGCAGGCTCTCAGCGCGGTGCCCCCAGACCTGCCAGCGGACACGGGCATCCTGCTGCTCAACGCCAACCGCCTGGTGTCTGTCTCCACCGCTGCCTTGCTGCCCCTCGCCCAGCTGCAGGACCTTGACCTGTCCGACAACGGGCTGGTGGCTCTGCACACCGGGCCCCCGCTGCCATCCCTGAGGGAGCTGATCCTCTCCCGCAACACGCTGGGGGCTCTGCCGGCCCTGCAGGGGCTGCCCGCGC